CAACTAGAAATCTAGAAGACAATAAAAATGTAAAAAACAATTTTTAATTATATATAATGCCAGTTAACCAACACTAAAGAATTTTAAAATTAATAATCTTGGCGTGACCAACGATGCGCCATTTATATGATACCTGAAAATTTTAGCGTACAGTACATACCGTACGTATAGTATCTGATAGGCTGGCAAAAGTGATCGGCAAAAGTTTTAGCATGCAGTACGTATCTAATAATACGAAAAATAGGTGTCGAAAAATAGGTGTTTCTAAATTGTCAAATTAACAATTTATGAAGTAAAAAATTTCCCAATGATTCACGGAGCATGAAATTTAAATTTTTAATTTTTAAGTCCCATCTCTATACGTACCGTACAGTACATAGTACTGCGGCACATCACTAGGCGTGACACAATGTTTTAATCTTCACAAGCTCATGTTTTTTGCTTCATGTCACTATTCTATTTTATTGGTGGTACGTATGTATCTTTAGAAATTTATAGATAAAATAGATTGATGATGCAAAACTCCGAAAATGCTGTAGTTTCTAAATTTTTATATCGACGACCTTCCCGAGTTACTTTAGCTGTTAATAAGACTTAATTGTGATGATCTGCAACATAATAAATCCCGCTAAACTATATTAAGATAAAAAATTTTTGCACGAACAATTTTGGAAATTTAATTTTCTATGTTCACACATTTTGAGAAATTCTAATACGACAATATCTTTCTATGGCCATTTCCTTTTTTCATACTGTATATTAAACACGGTCGTTAGATTATACATCATCAGTTTACCTAATAAAATAACTATTACCTTTTGTTTCTTGCCCAAATTGTCTCTATTAGTCTCTAATCCCATGGCCAAATAACACGTGAATCTTTGATCTACCACGTGAAAAAAAAATGCCCTCTGTAACAGTTTGGACCCGGATATCCGTTTTGATGTACCTATTTTATAAAAGCTATATTCGGATAACTGTTGGTTTTTAGCTGCAGATATCCAGATAAAATACTACGGATAACTAGATAACCCTTCGGATATCTGTATAATCATACAGATATCCGGATAAACCAGATAATCTAAGGTCAGATACGCTAATTAAATGTAACACTCAAAGCAATCTTGGTCACTGGAACATTCCAGTGGTAATTACTGTAACTGGAAGATCGATAGACTTGAATTGATTTCTTATTAGCCAATGCTACACACTTCATAGACAATCACTTGACAGACAGCTTAGTTCATAGGCAATATTATTTTACAGTAATTTATAAAAAAAAACTTGTCTTTAAAGTGAGTTTCTGGTGAAATAAGTAATCATAATAAGCAGTCAGTGGAACATTAATTGTCTGTGAAATAAATTGTAACTGTTGGTGAGATAATATGAACCTTTATTTGATTGAATTGATCAGCCAACTAGATGAATATTCCGGTGGAAAAAAACATAAATTCCAGTGCCAACACTAAATATTTAGCAAATTTAGGATGTAATTCATCACAGATAATGTAATCACTGTCAAATAACTCGAGTTATTTGGCAAGCACTATCATAGTAAGCTGCCGGATAAGAGTTCTTACCTGTAAGACATTTATAGCATCCAGATGTGCGATTGACGGGTCCAAACTCTTCTCTGTAAATCTTTTCTAAGAGAATTTTACTGATTTCCAATATCAGATATAGAGATGTGATATAAAAGTAGTTTCTGCTTTAAATTGATTACTAATTAGTTTGGTAAAGTACGTACTCAATACGGTGCTTTAGATCTCCAAAATACGTACTCTAATATTTTTATTTCGAAAAATATTTTATTAGCATGCTCAGGAAGCATAGTAATGACTTTAATGACTTGAAATAGCGTATCATTTACCTACATTATTAGGACGCATATTTTTTATATTAATTCTAAATTTGGATTTTTTTATAAAGATATTCTGAGGGTCACACTTCTCAATAATATATAACTCAGTAAGTTGGAAATTTTCGGAGTTGCAATAATGCTGGCCGAACTTTTAAAGCTAGGTATTTTAGATAATTACATAAAAATGGACAAATTTTTAGGATCGAAAATAGTTTTTCACCGGCGGCTAATTTTTTTGAAACTTTATCCATATAATCAGACATTCTAAAATTGTTATTTGGCTTTTGAATGGTTTGTACTATATTATAATATTCTTATTAATATCTAAAAGATAGGATAAATTAAGAGAAAAATTGATATAATCAGGATTTGTGATTTGTTTGTTGTTTTTGTATATTTTTGAAATCTTTGATTTTATTTTTATGTTGTTAAAAGAATATATTTATGTATTGTTATGCTTATATAAAACAAGGGGCTTAAAAACTAACAGCGGTTGAATTTCGAAAAGTGCGAAATGTCAAAAGGAAAAATAAGAACATTTTGCTTGGCACTATTGGTCATACAGCTTTTTATCCTTACGTTCCTTTGTCCAGCTCTTGGTAAATACAAACCTAACGCCTGAGTTAATAATCTAAGCAAAAGCTAATGTGTTTATATTCTTTTTATAATATAGCACTGGCAAAAGTCTTTATGTTTGATCAAACCAATGGGGAACTTAACTATAATAAAACTGTTAAATATTCGTAAGAACAAACTAATTTTTTTAACAATTGTTATATATTTTTTTCAGCAAATTAACATTATTTATTTTGTGATGGGTATGAATGTTTTAGCTACATAGTACTTACTTGGTCAACAGCTGGTAAGAACTTTATTATTTTATTGAATTTCGAGTAAATGACTTAATACTATTAATACATCAAAAATATAACATATATTTTTTAGCAATTAGTTTTCTTGCAATGTGTTGTTATTGTTTTTTTAATATGAAAGACTTTAGGTAATATATCAATTTTTATAAACTCTTTGAAAAGTAATAGATAATAAAAATTAATAAGCAATATTTTGTTCTAGAGCTTTAACAATTATTATATCTGTAGCTTGGTTTATTCTATCAAGTAAGTTTTTAAAACTTTACACTGACTAATCACAGTATTAACATTTAACTTGTGACTTTTTTAACCTAGTTATTTATACCACCTTTACTATACATGAAATTGATCCGATCCCATTCGATTGTCAGTATAACTTTAAATCTGCAAAAAGTAAAATTGCTTGTGGGATTCGAGCAGCAAATTTTATTTCTATGTGGTTATATTTAATTTATGCGATAGTTAGTCTTATAATAATGATTACTTTGATGTTTGAAAAAGATGATAAACCTGAATTTACTATGATGAATAATTAAAAAGTGGAAACTTAATACTAAAATGAATATGATAAATAATATTATAAAGCTAATATAAATTTGATCTTTATTTGAATTATAATGATTATACATCATCATTTTAATTAAAACGCTAGCAATCATGGCTTTTTTTTGTCAAGCACCTTTGTATAAGAAATTCAAATCATTTAAATTTATCTAATCATTACCGTTACTATTTGCTGATAAATGATACTTCTCTTATCATTTTACAATAATTTAATATTATGCCCGGTGTTCCAGACTACATCTAGAATATTAAGGATCATTTAATATCCATTATCAAGGCTCAATTGAATCATCTTGAAAATTCTGCTGGCTAATAATGAAGGTTCTTCCAAACTAAAACAAGAATGTACAAGTGATACTTCAAAAGAAGCCATGTAAGGTCTTTAACAATCGTGTCATTGTGTTAATGAATAATATTAAATAGATAAAATTCATCTTGGTTAAAACTGTAAAAAGACTAGAAATGCTGAAGCAAAAATTTATTAAGATTATCTTTTTTATTTTTTAAGTGCCAAGATTATCATACAGTATTAAAAAAATTTTACCTAATAGTCTGAAAATTTAATGTCTAAGCCATTTGATTATTAATTTATGATGCAAAGAAAGAACACAAATAACAAGAATTAACATGTTTACAGCAAGGATTGGCTAAAAGAACAGAGATTATTTTCTTTGTAAATCATTAAATTAGAGATTATGTTTTCCAAATATAAATTTATACGTAATTAATGTATATTCTAATACTCAGTGTTAAAAATTTTTATCTCAAATTTAAGAACCTAAGAAGTAGGGCTCCAGCTCTATGAAACGTCGCCGTTTTATTACTAGTTTCTACAAGGGTCAAATCAATATATCATTATTACAGGGGCAGGAGCCGGACATCGCCTAAACTTAGTACACCATAAATAGGTCTTTCACCTGCTTCCCTCCGCTCCAGCCCAATTGTATTAACAGGGTATTATAGCACTCATATATTTATTAAAGTCAAAAGAGTACTTTGAACTTTTGTCGCACGTGACAAAAGTTCTCGATTTTAATAAACATATTGCATCAAAAGTGCAGTGTATGGAAGTTGAATGATTGTTGACAAAACATCTACCGTTACAACCAATTAACCTTATGTGATGATTGAGAGATGAAACTGTATAACAGAATTCGACATCACACATTTTGGACTGAAAAGCAATGGCAGGCTGCACTGACTGCATTTGTAGTTCATGCTATTCCTGAATATTAACCAAATTTCATGCTCCAAAGCTAAATATTAATCATATTTTATGTTCTAGCATTTATTAATATCTTTGGGACTTGACTATAAAAATTTCTCTTCAAACGATCTTAAACTTATTCCGATTTTTGATGTTGTTAAATTGACCATCGTAACAACAAAGCATTTGATCCAATGTTATCATATATCAAAAAACTATATTATACTTAGATAATTATAACTTTATTTATTTATTCTGAGGAAACAGTATCGTTTTATAAGACTAGAAATTATAGCACGGGTAGAGTCATCTTGTATCTTCAACTGAAACCAGTCAATGTGCTTCCGCTAATTATTTTAAATTACACAGTTCAACTCCATTGTAAATTTTATATAGGTATGGGACCATGTATCTTTTATTTAAATATAATGGAAATTTGCACTACCGTATATTCAAGATTAGTTACTGAATCTTTTAGAAAATATAGAATTTAAAGATGACTACCGTTACCCCGACACAAGCATTTGACCTTATCTCTAGCGAGTTAAGAACTATCATGAGTGATCTACATAATACTACACATATGGGCACTAATATTCAACTTAGGTCATATCACCTACCATGTGAAATTAAAATTCCGTTAAAAGAAGTGTGGCGTGAACTCCAGAGGGCTAGTCGTTTTGAGGATCACACTGTTGCGATGACTTACGCTTTCTTTTTGTGGGAATTATTAGAATCAGTAACTAAATCGGAAAGGAATTATTATATTAAAAAATTAGAAATTACCAAGTACTTCGCTTGTGGATCTCAACGAATTTTTTATATTTTTGAGAAAATTGGGGTTGAACAAATTTATAAGACTTCCACTATAACATTAAGATTGTTCACCAGAATATATAAAAATGACTATAAGAAATTAATATGACAAACCCAAACCTCTCAAGGTATATCGATCGATATATGCTTATAAATCATCACTTACTAAATTGGGCAGTTGACAATAATGATAATAATTGTGGCAGATCATAATGAAATCGGATTAAAATGAAATGGGGACCTTTCTTGCTCATCTTTAAAGCTTATAAAACCCACTTATACTCTTTTATTAATAAAACTAACTCTAAACCCTAACTCTAACACTAACCCTAACCCTAAAAAATGTCTCCCAAAAAATTTTAAATTTTCTTAAAAAAATAGAAAAATTTCATTTTAATCTGATTTTATTTTAATCTGCCACAATAATTACTCCAGGTCTTCCTCAATATACTACAAATATGCTAGAGGCATCTAGTTCAACTATTACGTCAGACTCAACGCCGCCTCCATATAATTACGGAATGGTTCCATCTAGATTCCAATTTAATAATATGATTCAATATATATAATACAGAATAAGTAAGTTTTTAGCGTGATATATGAATATAAAATTTTATGTTGTTTATGATGTTAGTCCTCGCAAATATTGATAGTATTGACAATTTTTATTACCAATTTTATGGCATCCAATTGTTAGCGTCTTATGAGTTTTGAAACGGAAGATAGATTTGTTGTATTGATGGTGTAAATTAGTGATCAGACTCATGATTCACGTTATTGAGTTGAAAAAATTCAAATAGACTAGTTTAAAATTATTTATAAAATATAGGGATAAAGTATGTTTCAAATTTCTATAAGACGTTAAAAAAAATTCATATAACTTTTATCACATATTTTATTAAATTATTAAATTACGTAACGTTGACGGTAGCTCTCGAGTTAAAACTTTATGGTTCAGAATATGAAAAATTCGAGTTGTTCGAGTCATGAATTGACGAGTAGAGCTATTACCCGAGTTAATAGTTAAAATAGGTCAAGCTTAATAATTTTGTTGGTATATTGAAATATATATATGAGATTGTCTTGAGATATAAATATTTAAATCAGAACACTCAGCCTTGTTATAATTTGAGTTCATTCATTTCATATATCGGAAAAAACCGCACGTTAGAATTTATCCATTCATTTAACTGACCCATTTGACCCAAGTGTCAAGACAATTTTTGATCTATGGCCTGTCAAGATGCAGACTCATACAGGTCAACTTGGGTAATAGCTCTATTGATGAGTCAACGAACTTGTAGAAATAAGATTTTAATACACTTGCTTAATCTTTCATATGACTTTGTCATGAAACCGTCAACGATAACGATAATAAATATTTTAACTTTTATTCGTCATTTTTTCATTTTTTAAAGAAAAATAAAAAAATAACAATCTAGTAGCCGTTTATTGTGAAAGTGACCATATATGCTTCTACGCTTAATAATGAAATCTATTAATATAGTCTTCTACTTGCCTAATCTCATAAAAATCTCATTTCATCTGTTGTGATTTTATTATTTAAAAGTTTCATTTTTTATTTTTTTTTCAATAAAATTAAATTTTAATTCAAAATCAGTAGGCTTGTTAAAATGGATATGATTTGTGAATATATTTGTTAACAACCGATTTATAAATATTTTCTTGCTTAATATTTAATAATTAAAAATTATT